GAATTTAAAATTTAAAATTTTAAATTTTGAATTTAAATTTAAAATTTAAAATTTTGAATTTGAATTTGAATTAAAAATTTAAAATTTAAAAATTTTGAATTTGAATTTAAAATTTTAAATTTTGAATTTTGAATTTAAAATTAAAAATTTGAATTTGAATTAAAAATTTTAAATTTTTAATTAAAATTTGCATCAATACACATTCTATTAAATCAAGACTAAAATTTTTAAGATTATAAAATTTTTCTTATATACATGAGAATATTTTTCTTGAGTTAAGATTAATTTTTTTTGTATATCAGAATTCAGGATTCTATTTCTGTCAAAAATAAATAGAATTCAAAGAATAGAAGAATTTTATTCGTAATTTGATATCTTATGTAACATGAAATGTTTAAAAAATCAGAATATACATGTAAAAATCATAAATAGAATTCTATTCTAAAATCTGATGCAAATTCGTTTGTAAATGGCTTTAGATTTTTTTCTCTAGAAATTAGGAAAAAATATATACAGAAAAATTATTCATGCACAAAAACTTTTACATTAATTAGTTTCATATTAATTAAAACAATTATATGCATGGTTCAATTTTAATATGATTAAACATTACCTGGTATAAAACCTTCTTTTATGATCGCTGCACGTAGGGCTGCACGTCCATACATAACATTCAGCGAATCAACCTATTTTTTTAAGAAAATCAAAATACGGTTACGTGATTGGAATAGTGAACAATACAATGGACAATATTTCGCTCATTCATACCTGTTTACAAACGTCTATTGTACTCGTATCCTCCTCTATATTGTCCTGCGTTAACAGATAATGAGCCGCCTCGAAACTGTAACCGCGCCTACATGGTAAGAATCTGTCTCCCAAACAGATCTGTTTCGGGCATGTTCCCATTCTTACGTAGTTCGAATACTGAAATTTCCGCTCTTTGCATTGCTCGGGATCCTCGTTGATCACCGTATGCGGAGTAGATGTCAGAAGCCATTTCCGTGGGACGAACTAAATAAAAAAATAAAATAATCCAATAATCAAATAATAAATATTATTTATTATTTTATTTATTTACTTATACATAATCCATGTGCCTCGCGGCTCAGGATGATTTTCGGTTATATTCGTTTTTTTGCACAGTTGTTTGTGATTGAAAAATTTCACACGCAAATTTTTTTTCTTAAAAATTGGCAACACAAAATACGTACGGGTAAATTTTTGATTGAAAATAAAGACATTTTTTTACGAAAATTTTTGTTACGACAAAATCAAACTATATAGAAATCTCATAAATTGGAAATGATTACGAATTTCAAAAATCGTGCAAAAACTTGCAGAGATAAACTTTGTACGTTTGCCACATCTCGTTGAGAGAGAGAGAGAGAGAGAGAGAGAGAGAGAGATGCATGTGTATTTTTCAAATTTATCTGGGATGGGGA